ACAGTTCTACTCTGACCCACATGGGGTCAAAGTGAGTCATAATCTACTTAATGGCTGCTTGTTGCTCGAGTGTCAGCAGAACAAAGAATTTCAATGGAGCTCATCAGCCATTGTTCTACAGTCAAATCACTTTATAATATCTGAGCAGTGGGTGACCCTCAAAGTCTCTTTAGTGTTGTGAGAAAATTTTTCAGGACAGAGAAAAGAGAAATGGAGGCAGGAAGATGAATCCTTGGAGTTAGGGTGGCATTCTCTATACAGAAAAGCAGAATTAACTCAGACATGGAGGTGCCAGTAAATGGGATGAGATGAATTTCAGAAATCTAGTGTGACAGGATTTAAAATTCAGTTCCGCAAGGAGAATGGAGGAAAAGAGGAAAGGAGATTTATTTTGAGAGTTTTAGACCAAGGATTTAGTTCAGAAATGATAATATGACAGTGTCTCAGTACTTTGAATTCACTCGCTGGAGAAAAGACCTGGCTATTGCTTCGGCAAGGATTACAAGTAGGACACCCTATGGGGCAGTTCTACTCTATCATGTGGGCTTACAACGATTCAGAACCTGCACAATGGTTCACAACAAAAAGATGTCGGTAAAGAGGGAAGACTGACAGTAGAAAGGTTGTGACTGATAGGTCTTTGGGTCCAGAGGCAAGTGGAGCTGTCCAGCAGAGTTTGGAAAAGCAGTCTAGAGCTCAAGAGAGACAGGACGGTGACACTGATTTGGAATGGAGCAAGAAATTCCCCCTCCCATGACCCCCACTCCCAGAGGAGCATGCATAGAGCAGGAAGAGCAATGAATGCAGAGGGAGGAACAGGGCCTCCGGGAAGCAAGAGCAGGGCTTGTAACTGCTGTTATTCTGGGGAAAATGTGACTCCTGGCCTGTTGAGATGACACTTGCACAGTCTTTAGCCAGCCACCAAGGAGCAGTAGCTTGGAGAGGATCCAGATCTCTACCTCCCTGGGCTGGTGCTTCCAGCCTGGGTTTGGAGCCCATGCATGTGAGTCAGTTCTTGATGAGAACACAGATCTACTTTTCCTGCTCCTGAGAACACAGATCTACTTTTCCTGCTCCAAGGAGTCCTGTCTCTCCTCGTCTACCTCTTTCATCAGGACAATGCTTCAACTCTTACTTTCGGCTTAGCTTCAATTCTCCCCTGGACTTCTTTATGCACACGTCTCTATGAGAGCTCTGGCAGTGTAGTCCACTGGAGGGGACACTGTTAACCTAAAGGTTGTGCCTCTCTGCACTTCAAATCTACCAGCAGCTCTGTGGGAGGAAGATCAACTCCCTTCTCTGGCGTGACTTACAGATTCCCAAAACCCACTGGAGGGTCAGCTATGAGTCTGTTCTGACTGGACAACAGTGAATTTTAGGTGGTTTTTGTGTTAGATTGGAGTGTTTTATAGTTGTCCCTTAGCAGTTAGGAGTGCTTTGATAACACTTTGAGCTACTTTTAATTTTTTTTACTCACACTGCAGTAGAACCTGTGAGGTCTAGACTGGGCAGGACTGTTTTGTTTTTAAGACCCTTTAAGCTTTTTTGGTTTGGTTTTGTTTTTAAAAATATTTTATACCGGTTTATTTACAAAGTTCATATATATTGTTTTTCACACCGGATCTTTCCTATTTCCTTCACAACCCCCCTCCACCTATCAAATTGTGTGACCTTATGATTAATGCCCTCTCCCCCTGACACCCATCCTCACTCCTCTGCCCCCACCAGACCCTTGTAAGTTTTCCGTCTTTGACAGGGTGCAGCCTTAGTAACTTTCTGTTGCTCTCTCTTAGTGGAACATAATGAATTTTCTCCCTCTGACAGGTTTCTTTCCTACACAAGCTCTGGCTTCTGTAGGTTTACTGGATATTGTGCACACAACCATATACTCTTGCCCCTCCACTTTTTATACTACTGTTCTAGTATTTCAAACTTTTAAATTGCTATTCTCATAGCCACTGCATTGGAAGCGTTGGAAGTGACTTCTCGCTGATCCTCCAGTGGATTTGCCGAGGCTGTAAATCACATGGGAGGAGGTTGCCTGTCTTTCTCCTGTAGGCCAGTTGGTGGATTTGAACTACCCTCCTTTGCACTGGCAATGCTACTAGGTCACCAGATCTCACCTATTAACTGATATATCTTCCCTTATATATTTTACATTGGCTAACTGCCTTCTTCTGATTAGATTATTTTCCTAAAGGCTAATTTTAGATGCTGAGACCTGGTTAATATTGGTCAGTTTCCATTTTTCTCTACCATATCTTCTTGGTAGCTTTAAATCCTGGATCCCAAACTGGAAACATGAGATCAGGAGACAGTCTTTATCCCACCCACTTAGCACTGGTAAAGAAAAGTCCCATGATGACATGACTTTTGTGCTACTGTGAAGGCTAGAAAACAGTGGCTGCTAACACAGAGTTTAGTATCAGACACTACTTCTGCCACTTGGCAATGGCCGTGTCTCAGTTTTTCCATCTGTAAAATGGGGATAATAAAGGTGTCAATCTTATAAGCATATCGTGAGAAGGAAATAAGATAATGCAAGTATAATATGTTTAGCACAGTGTTTAACACATAGTAAATACTCAGTTAACACCAGTTATGTGCCTTGGTCCAGAGGTGGATTCGCCTTATGATAGGAACCAGTCTTGAACTAGGAAAATGCCTATACATGGGTTTCTATTTAGCAGTTCTACTTCTATTATTTCTCTATCTACTTCTTGTGGTTCAATGTACCAGGAAAATGTCCATGAGCAAATAGCTGTCTTTCTGCTTAACTTTCAAGCCTCTACTAGCATCAGAGCTGAAGCAAAGGGGTTATGAGGGGTGGAAAACATTTCTTGCCCTCACTTATGTCACTAAATGTCATTTGTGTAAGTGAGGAGCACTGTGGACATTCTCAGGGAGAGACAATGAGTCACTGTGGAGGCAGCAGCAGCACTTTGATCTCAACCTATCATCAGACGATGAAGCATCATGGCAGAATCATTCCGCTGGGAGGATGCACTGATAGGTCTACCAGGGAAGGCTGAGTCCCAGTGTGGTGCAGCTGGAGAAGCTTTGCTCTGGGAGCCCCAACACACAACATTCAGTCTTTGTGCTGTTTCACCTTTTTCTCAGTTTTATCCTCTGTAGCACGGGGGCAGTCAAAAGAACAAGCAAATCTATCTTGGAGGAAGTGCAAACAGGATACTGCTTAGAGGCAAGGATGGTGGAACTCCACCCCACACACTTTGAGCATGTTGTCCGGAGGGGCCAGTCCTCGGAAGAGACAACATGCTAGAGAAGGTGGAGGGGTCAGTGAAAGAGAGGAAAACACTCAAGGAGATGAATTAACACTGTCACTGTAATAGGCTGAAGCATGGGGTGCAGGATAGGAAAAGGCTCAACTCTTATTGATAAGGTCACTGTGAGTTACAGTAGATTTAACAGGGATGGTGAGAATGGTGCAGGGTAGAGCAGTGTTCAGGTCTGTTGTTCATAGGGTCACTGTGAGTTGTAGAGAATTCGATGGCATCTAACAACAATAATAACATGGGAATAATCATACCCACTTTGACTAAGGCATAGGATTACTGCATGACATTCCATGAGAATGCTTTTTCCATTGGAAAGGGTTAGAACAAAGCAATCTATTACCTTTATTGTAAAGCCCTCGCTTTCCAAAGAAATATCTGCTGCCTCTAGCAAATGCTGCCTTCTGGGTTTCAGAAATGACGGAGCAAAGGCTATGTGAATTTGGAGTGTATTCCTGACTGGGAAGAAGGGACTCAGCCTTAAAGAGAGTACTGAGAAGGCAAGCTTCCTTTTCAGGGACAGTGCCTCTCTTTAGCTTGTATCATAATCCCCTGTCTGGCGGATGTGGGGGTGTGGAAGGGTAGGGGGGCTCAGCCTCTGGAGTTTCCACTCAGCAGATCTGGACTATGTCCTGAGAATTTGCATTCCTGATGCCTCCATTGGTACTGCTGCTGCTGCTGATCCAGAAACTACATCTGGAGGATTACTATACTAGGGCAAGTAGGCACAAAGATTCCTCCTTCAGGAGTGGAAACAGGCAGTGTGAAGGTCCTCATGGGCCAGGAGAATTGGGAGGGGGGAATGGAAAAGATGGGAAAAGAAGGATAAACGTGCAGGTTGGGCAGAACAAAGGGAAAAGTCTCATTCTGTAACAAATGCAAGTGAGGGAAGTTGCTAGGTGATGGATGAGGGAGAGAGGTGTATTTCCACTCTAGGAGAAACCAGGTAAGAGACGCGCACAGAGGAAACTGTGCATGTTTGGGGCATCCAAGGAAGGGCAAATTTCTCCTTAGGAAGTGGGAAGGGTGTTATTGGTGCTGGGGAGGGGTGTGTAGGGTTGGAGAGGGTCTGGAGGAAATGCCTCTGTAGAGGAAAAGGGGGCAGAGGAGACGTAGGGAGACCAAATTTCAGGGCTGTGTGGTTTGGCTGGGTACTGCAGCACAATAGAAATTGGGAGCAAGGGGGTGGAATTTAGATGTGTGACCTGCCCCGTAGCTTTCTTGCTCTCTGCATTTATCACATCACATCACACCCAGCAAGACAGCCCCCCTCCTCCTGGCTCATTAGGAGATTTGATTCAGCTTGGCTCCTGCTGTCAGCAGCTGTCTGGGGCAAGATCTTTATGCTCTCTGCTCCCCAAGCAGCCACTGGCCTTGAGCCGGCAGCACATCTCATTAGAGGACAGCTCACTGGACACTTGGGTTTTGACTCAGTTGTGGCTGCAAAGAGTTAACACCTAAGGCTTTACTACCCCTTGCACAACCTCTGGGTGCAGAGGGAGGCAGCTGTGGGCTGTGGTGACTTCTCCCAGAGCTACAGCCCGAGGAGCTGAGAAGCAGGTTAGCGAGGCTGAGGAGGAGGGTGCGGGAGGAGCGCCAGGCACGCTGCGCTCAGGGCACCTCCTGCCTCCTGCCAGTGAGGATGGGCGTGCAGACTGTGCCCAGGAGCTGAGCCACCATCCGCCAAGGATAGGCTGCTTCAGGATTCACTGGATGTGACGAGCAGAGAGAGGCATTCAGCGGAGCTACTCGCAGCCTGGCTCAAGTGGTGGGAGGTGTGTGCTTGTGTGCTTGTATGTGTGTGTGTGCGTGTGCATGCCTGTGCACATATGCCCTTCATCTCCCATGGATCTGACCGCTAAATGAAAGATCTGTTCTTTCCCCAGAGCTCCATCATCCTCAGCCTCTCTGACCATCCAGTTGGCAGTGACCCACAGGCCATGAGGACTGCTCAGAGACAGTGAGTACAGCTTTTGGCTTTTCTCTCTCCTCTCCAGGGTGGCCAAGTGGACCGAGTGCATTTCTGTATTTAATTAACCTGCCTCTTCATGCATAGTGATGACTTTCCTCTTTGCGAGGCTCTCAGTTTCTTTCTCCTTTTTATACATCTTTGCTCTTTGCTTTGAACCTTTGTTTTTCCCCTTGCGTATTTGGTCTTTGCATTATATCCCATCCCATCTGCCCTGGCATCACTTGTACCCGTGTCCCACTGAGCAGGAGCCTACAGGCCTGGAGGCCACCTCCCCACGCACATGTGCTGTGGGTATAATCACACAGTTGGCCTGGCTGGATTTGGGGCAACCCCAAATTCCTTCCATCATAAGTCTAGGCAAAATGAGATCAAGGCTTTTAGATGTTGGGAGAGACAAGAGCTGGGGTCATAGCATCCCATTGATTCTTGGTTAGTGGGTGGCTGATCTAGTCAATGAGGTAGTGGAGGGCCTGAGGGGCAGTGATGTGAAGGGCTCGGGTGGGAGGGAAGAGGTAGAGATTGGAGTGGCACAGGCAGTTGATGCAGGATGGGGTGCAGGCTGGAAGTGGGGATGGAGAGAGAGATGGGGCAGGGACAGAAGGCTGGGTGACACCCTGCTAGAATGACCTTGCTTGTTGTGTATGTGGGTACCAGTCTTGATTCGACTCAGGGGAAAGTCCCTGGCTTGGGCCACCCCTTTCCTGGGACTGTATCTTCTAAGTAAGAGAAAACAAAGCTGAAGTGCTGGTAATTCCATTTCTAAGGTCCCTTGCCACTGTCAGAGACTTTCACCTCACCTTCCTGAGCAGGCAGGTTGTAAGCACAGTGAGGAGAAGGATTGAGGGCATGAACCTACTCTGGGGAGCTCAGTCCAGACTCAATCTTCTGAGGCGAGCCTCCCATGCAGTCTAACTAATGTTAGTTTTCCATTTTATTAGAAAAGTGATTCTTAAAAACACTTCTAAATTTTCTGGGCAATAGCAAAATCATTTAAATGACATAGCTCCAGTAGGGGCTGTATCTATTTATACTGAGTTTCTTTTAAGATGGAGTCTATATTTGGTGTTGGAGTTCCCCGGGGAACCCTTATGTATAGGCAGGCTGCTGTCTTCACATGCTTCTCCCTATCAGTGATCTTCAGTGGGAAGGGGAAGTCAGGACCTCTGACAATGGGACCCTCAGGAGAGAGAGAGACTGTAAGTCAATTAGACCTCAAACTTTACATCCCCTTCTCGATGTTCTCCCTGCTTCCAGTTAAGAACAGGCTGGGTCACAGGCTGAAGGAGGGCAGGCAAGACAGAGCGTAACTTGCATGTTCATTCCTTCAGCCTGTGCCTTGCGATCCCTACAGAGGAGAGAGGATGTACTATGATAGCACCTGACAGTGTTCTCTGGGAGCTTTTCGAAACTTCCCCCAACTCTCCCCCTTTCAAGGCTCTGTGCACCCCCCACCTTAGGGACAAGGACCCTTAAAGGAAGGTGCAAAATCAGAACAGCATCAAATCCAATTATTTTGGAGTGAATGCAGCCCTCCCTTCCCCCACTGCCTGCTGGCTGGTCACTTGGGCCCCAATCCACTAAGAGAAAGAGAACAGTCATTTTTGGGTTGGCAGGCCCACCCTTCCCCTGAGGCCCATGGCCCACTTTACTGCTGATGGTCAGAGGTTGGGGAAACAGGAAGCCCTGAGTGATCATCAGCCGCCCAACAAAGTGCTCTTGTCAGTCCTTGGTTGGTCTCTTAAGTAAGCAAAGCCCCTTGGTAAGGATGAGCATGTGGAGAACGGCCCGGGGTGTTTGTGGGTGGAAAGCAACCTGAGAAGGAGCTCAGTGCAGGAAGATGAGAGGGGTTGGGCCCGCCTCTCACAGCAGACTCTTTGATTTTAGGTGAGAGGACGTGAGAGGGCCAAACGTTCTGCCCCGCAGTCTAATCTCCTGCCCTGCCGGTCCTGCCAGTCAGCCAAAGGGTTAACTGTGAGCGGATGCCTGTATGGCTGCCTTACTGATGCCACGGAGGTAACTGATCAATAACCTGTTTTCTTGCCCTGCTCCTCTCCACTCTCTCCTCACTGCGCCTCCCTTGCTCCAGTCTGGTCCATGTGGTGAACCCATTTGCATCCTTGCCCCTTGCTTCCTGGGCCAACCGCGCTGTTCTTATCCACGAGCTTCTTGCAAAATTATGGTCTGCAGGCAGGGAGATGGTGGGGTGGAGGGATGTCTTGGCTTTTCCTGATGAGGTGGTTCAAGAGGCCTATGCATGAGCTTGTTTCCAACCATTTAGGGACCTATGGATGTACTGGGACAGGAGTGTTAAGAAAACACCGAAGAGGGGCCTAGATTTTTTAGTGTTTTATTTTAACGTAACCTTGACCTTTGTCTCTTGCTTCTGCTCCTATTCCAGCCCTCGCTGACATATTCAGAACTTATGTCTCAGTATGCAAACTAGAAAATACAAAACATTTTACCCCACACCATACTTTGTTAAACATCTTTGCCTATGTAGGTGGGAAATGAGTGGCAACACATCCTTATCCTGGCCCCTGTTAAACGGCTTGCATAGTGGCATTGCCGTTTCTTTGGGGAGGTTCCTTAATCCATGTTTGGGGCCAGTGGCCTGGCTGTTTAATAACTTATGATCCTGGGGCCATGCTTTGAACAGAATTGCTGAAAAATTGGGCTCTGGCCTGTGGTGCAGCCCGATCAGGATCTTGACTGGCATTTCCAGAATGTTGTGACTCGAGGGCTCTTAATCAGCTGCTTGCATGGCCTGATCTTCCAGCATCCTGGGATTTGAAAGAGCGAGTGGACACACATAAGATGCTCCCTGTCTCAGGAGAAAACTTGACTGGAGCCAATGTTTTGAAATGCTATGAAATAGATAGCTTCACAATGTAGCCTGGCTGTGAGGAGAGGCACAGGCTCAATTTTCTATGGGAGTGAGACGGTGTTACTGGGATAGTCTGGCCTGAAAAGGCTCTTCAGAGGTGGGCTGTGGAACACCAGTGTTAACCCATGTCTGATGAATGTCTCAGGGTATATTGGCTAGATAAGTTTACTCTGGGAAAAGACAATGAAAGGATGAGATTGGACTGGATGGCTTCTGGAGCGTAGTAAAACGGGAGAGGAAGGTGAGGCTGAAGAGTTACCTTTCCACATGGAGATTTTCCTCTCCTAGTTCTCTTCCCATGGCAAATTGTTTTCATTGTGTGCATGTGGAAGTCTTCTTTTAGAACTCACTCATAAGTTTTGATCTGATTGTACCAAACCTCTCTCACTGACTTTTGCCTTCCACATCAGGTGTTGTCATGGTTAAAGATCAGGTTTGGACAGTCTTGTTCTGCCAAGGACCATAGAATAAATATTTTTGTCTTTATGGGACATACTGTCTTTGTTGTAGTTACTCAACTCTGCCCCATGGTAGAATGTGGTCTTAAGCAATATGTAAACAATTGAGTGTGGCAGTGTTCCAATAAAACTTTATTTACACACACAGACATCCAGCAAGGTTGGGCCTAACAGTTTATAGTTTGTCGACTCTTGGTTAAAGGGAAAGAGTACCTGGGTGGCACAAATAGCAACTAGTGGGGTTTTTGTTGTTGTTGTTGTTTGGATAAAGGAAACCAGCTGCTGTTGAATCAGTTTCCCCTCATGATGATCTCTTGTGTGTCAGAGGAGAATTGTGTGTAATAGGATTTCCAATAGCTGATTTTCTGGGGAGTAGATTGCCACGCCATTTTTCCTGGGAAATCTCTTGGTTAACTTGAACTGTCAACCTTATCAATTGTTGTCAAGCACATTAGTTTTTCACACCACCCAGGGGCTTCTGGTTGGAGGTAAATGAGAGCTAATTTTGGGGATCAGAAAGAGATTTGCATAGTTTCTTACTGGATCTGCCTCAACAGTAAACCATGCAGATGCTTGCAACCCTGGCTATAATTGTTATTATGAGTGTCTTTACTAAAATGAAACCATTGAAAACTTAAACATACACATTAAAATGTAAGACATGTTTACTGAGACAAGCCAAAGTATTCATAGGAATAGGAACACTTGGCTAAAGAAATTTAAGAACCAAGGAATCGTACGTTGGTTTTTAATTGCTGATTACATTAGTTTCTTTTCTCTGTGCCTGAAGATATTAAGTATTGCTGGTCTGTAGCCATCAGGCTTTCAAACTAGTTGCTCTGATCCAACCCCTGCTGATACCAGGCATTTCCATCCTTCAGATACTGAGGCAGAACAAGATCCCCAGGTGGGATCTTGTTACATTATAGATTCTGATTCAGTATACCTGCGGTGGAAATGCAATCTCAGCAGGCAATTGAACCTGAAGGTAGCCATTCACACATATGAGCAGGTTTGGGAAATTAGAGGGGCGAACTGGACGCAGACATGTCCTGCCTTGAAGCCCCATACTTGTCTGTGCTCTGAGCCTCCCTGATCAGCACCTCAGCAGCGTTATGCAAGTGCACCTTTCTCTTGGCGGGCGTACTTTGCAATCAGGAGCTGCTGCTGCTACTGCGACTTTGCCCTCCTAGGGGAAGGGGGAACAAAATGTAGATTGTTATTTTGTCATTACTCTATTTCCTTTCCCAACAGAGAATCCTAATATAGACATTCTTCTAAGCAATGACCTTCACTCACTCTCCATCAACTTGACTGTGTCAGCTTTAAAAAGCACTAAGCCTCTAGGGGTAGGGTACCTACTATTACTATTCTGCTAGTCAAATAAAGGAGTGAGTGTGTCCTTTGATCTTCTATGGTTTTCTGCTTTTGTGAAATCTTCAGGGGTCCTCTTAGAAAAGGTGGGGAGCAGTGCCGTCCCTGGCTGCTGCAGCCCCAGTAGCCCTTCCTCTACCCCTCATCCCTGTTGACCATCCATTCTCCTTCTGCCCTGTGTTTGGTTGCAGGAACAAAGGGATGAGAACTCGACTGGGATGCCTGTCTCACAAATCGGATTCTTGTAGTGATTTCACAGCTATTCTTCCTGACAAGCCCAACCGTGCACTCAAGTGAGTTCCGAGCCACACAGCATTCCTAGGTGCCCACCCAGGGCTGCAGAAACCCCTTGTCTCTCTCCCTCAAGCTGCTGACCAGGAGAGCCAGCAATGACAATGAACTCCCAGCTTTTGGCAGCTCATATTATATCCCTGAACCTGTGAGCAAAGGGAACACATATTTTCTTGCCAGATCTTCTCTCTTTAATCTTTTCCTTTTACCAGTCTTAGGATGAGAAGCCTCTTTTGCTTCTTGAGAAGCCCATATTATCTATCTCTTAAAAACCTGCGGATGGTGAAGGATACTTCTTGGTTCTTCTTAGATGTCAATCTGAGCTCTCAATTTAGAAACAAACACTCAAACCTGCTCTAAAAATATGCTGAAGTTCAGATCATCTGGATTCAGGGCCCATTCTTGTGCAAGCATGGTATTAAATGATGTCACAGACGTCACCTCATTTAACCCTCACACAGTTCTGTCAAGGGCATCGCTGTTCCCATTTTAGAGGTAAGGGAATTAAAGTGATGGTAAGAAACAAGCTAACATGACTTACCTGATCCCAAACCTGTCTCTTTCTATTGTAATCATGACACCTTTAACTCATGCTCTTAGCTTGCTCTTTTATATGAAATTCAGTAACTTCTAGTTCTGAGGTTTCCCCATTACTGTCACAGGAAGGTTCAAGTTTAAAGTGACAGAATTGTAAGAATTAATTGTTCAGCCTTAAATGTTGCAAGTTGCTCTCCAGTGAAAATTTTGGTAGTGGTGGAGGGAGAGTAGATTAATTCAGAAATACTCAAGGTAAACGTTTCTTCTTCCTAGGAGGTTATCTACAGAAGAAGCTACGAGGTGGGCAGATTCCTTTGATGTACTTCTCTCCCATAAATGTAAGTAGATTTCAGATTATTTCATGTCCCAGCAAAGCAACCATTTAGTTTAGTAAAAGATTTATCAAGTGTTCTGGTGGCGTAGTGTCTTCTATGTTGTGCTAACTGAAAGATTAACAGTTCAAATCCACTAGGTACTCCACAGAGAAAGGTGAGCAATCTCCTACAACACAAATTTACAGCCTTGAAACCTGATGGAGAGTTGCTCGGGGTAGGAATTGACTTGCTGGTAGTGGATGGGGCTCCAAATCCTGGGCTGAATGTCCCAGACAGCTCTGGTTGCTGCCCAGAGACCCACCAGTCTAGAGAGAAATAAGGAATAAGGAAACAGAATTTAAATAGAGTGAGATGAAGACCATCTTCTTCATTCTTGTAGTTCTTAGTCCCATGAAGGCTTCATGTTGTCAGCAGTTTTAGCAAGAGAGTTTAGCGCAGGACTTTGGAGAAATGGGCTGCACAGGAGTAAGACAGACCAAGTTCCAACGGAGATTTTCTTTATAAACCTAAGTGGCTTCCCCTGAAGTCAGTGGAGAACCTTGTGCTAGTCACAGTCCAGTGACTATTCTGTGTACATTATCATTCACAGTGCTTGAGTTGAAAGACTGATTTTTAAAAATTTTTTTTATTTTGGTAAGATACACTAACTTAAAAGCTTTCCTTGAAACCATTTTTAATTGAACAGTGCTGGAGTGTAAAGCACATTTACAATGCTGTACAACTTGCATCGTGGTTTCCAAACTTTCTCACCACAAAAGGGAACTCAGTCCTTACTGAGCAATAAGTACTCCTCATCCTCTCTTCTCACAGTCCCTGCTCACCTTTAGCCTACTTTCTGTCGCTGTGCAATTGCTTGTTTTAGATATTTCACAGAAACAAAACAGTTCCATATTTAGTCCTTTTGCATTTGGCTCATTTCACTTAATAAAATGTTTTCAGTTTATGTGTGCTGTAGCTCATGTTCATTTTTCTTTTTGGCTGAATAATATTGCCGTGTATGTAAGTAGGACCAATCTATTATCATTCATCTGTGGGTATACATATATGAAGTGCCCACTTTTTGATGGTTATGAATAGGAAAGCAATGAACACTAGTGTACAAGTATTTGTTTGATTATTAGCTTTCGAGTCTTTTGGGTAGATATCTAAGAGGAGTTACTGAGGCATATGGTAATTCTATATGTAACTTTTTGAGTTACTGCCAAAAAAGACTGGATTTTCAGTTTCTTATTGATTTTTATTTTGACAATCTATTACTTCACCTGCATTCTGCGAGAATGTAAATTTTACTAGAATACAACTTTTGCTATTTCTTCCTCTCCTATTTTCCCCTTCCTCATCTCATATGCCTTTTCTGTCTCCCAAGTACAGACATATATTGCTGAGGATACTGTGGTATGATGAGTATTATGTCAGTGGTGACCAGGCTCTTCAGCCCTTGTTCTCTGACCATGAACAAGTCTAGACCTCTAGGCTTTGAAATCCCAATGGTAGCTCCATGGATTAGATTTGACTCAGCAGCAACTAACAACAGTTTATGCATTATCATGTATTTAAGCATTGTCTAATTGACATGTACTTATTTCATGTTCCAAATTTAAATATCAGTGAATGTGATCAAACATTGTACAAAATATATGGAGGTATGGAGAGCAAAAGTGAGAGAAATGGTCTTCTGAAGCAAAAGGCAGATTTCAAATGGATGTTCAAGGTCAGTGGTATCACTACAGATCACATAAGCATGATTTATGATATTAAAACTCCAATCTAAATGGATCTCCTCTCCTGCATACCAGACAGAAATCCTTAGTAATGCTTTTTATCAGTTTTAATCATGAAGTAATAAGCAACCACACATTCACTCATGATTCTTAGTGTCATTGTCATTGGGTAATAATGACAACTCTGACTGGAGTATGTCAGAAGATTCATTAAGTATATTAGCATAGAGTTTGAACCTTGGAGATATATTAATACCTGAGTGATGGGCTTATGAAAAATATTTTTGTTATATGTGTTGGCCACACCCCTGGACTCCCTTAGTGATGCCACTGTTTAAATGTTCTTAAGTTTCACATTGACCATATTGTTGTTATTGTGCACAGTCAAGTTGGAACCGACCCATTGCTGACCTTCCAGTGGATTTTCAGAGGCAGTTGATCACATGGGAAGAGATTGTCCATCCTTCTCTCACGCACCTATAACTATATTGAAAGTTTTAAATACCGTGGACTGCCAGGGAGCTCTGATGGTATAGTCCATAGGGAGTTTCACTGCTAACTCAAAGAGGACAGCTCTCTGATGGCTCCAACCTACCAGAGGTTCCTAAGCGAAAGATGGATAATCTCCTTCCATTCAATTTACAGCCTCAGACAACCTGCTGGACGGTAGCTATGAAATGCTTTCAATGAGGTGACAATGAGTAAGTGCCAAAAGAGTGAATAACTCTGTTTTGGGAGGAGTATAGCCAGATGCTCCTTAGAAGTGAGGATGGTGAGACTTTGGGCGTGTGATCAAGAGAGACCAGCCTGTGGAAAATAACATCATGCTTAGTAAAGTATCAGTGTAAAAGAGAAGACACTTCAAGAGATGGGTTGACATAGTGGTTACAAAAACAAGCTTATGCACAGCAGCGACCATGAGAATGATGCAGGGCGAGGTGGTGTTTCGTTCTGTTGTACAGAGAGCCACTGTGAGTTGAAGCTGACACATTGGCACCTGTGAAAGTAGCAGATGATGCAGTGTGAGGGTGACTGAGTCTGATTTCTAACCACTTCGTAAAGGAGAACTATCCCCATCAATAGTATCCATAACAGCAAATAGATAGTTGCTTGGTCAGACACACCACTCCCCATGCATGCTCTTGCATCTATTTCCACCAATCATTGGGTTCGATATTTGTTGCTGACTCACAGATTTTACTCTTTGTGGTACTGAGAATGGGATTTATTGGGGAAATATGTTGGAGAGTGGGGAAGGCAAAGAATATCACCTAATGCAAATCCAATTAGCCTAGCATTACGAAGACGCCGTTCTCTGATTTCAGTTCAGCAGTCAGCTTTTCCTTTCATCTTCTGGCAAGAACTTAAAAACCTTTAACTATGACCTTTATCACAGGGTTCTCTTCATTACACCTTGCCACAGTTTCTCCATAGCAATGCCACAGTCTCTTCACTACCATCACCAGGGTATCACCACTAGTGTCTCTGGATCTCAACAGAGTTTTGCTCCAGTGTCCCTCAAGTCTTGTTGTTCAGTGTGGGAAGCACTCCCTTTTTTCACTCCTAATCCCATGGCTGTTGATGATTTGCAAGACCATGTGTCTGCAATTAAGGTAGCAGGAGACCGGAAGGGACTAACATCAGGGCTCAAAGAAACTGAATCTTAAGCTAACACTGTAGCACCTAACAACAATGACAATATGAAATAACAAATAATTTGAGAGCATAACGATTGCTGTTATTGTCTCCATTTAATTAAGATGCACATTTTTCGATACCTAGTAGTGATAGATAGAATCTTATATTCTGGGTTTCGAGCTAGCTCTGTTATTAGATAGCAAGGTGGCCTAGATATCAGTCTCCAGTAGACCCTTCAGAAGTGCTTCTGAATTCAGCTGCATGAGCAGCTCCCCGGTTATGCCTTTATTGCTAGAAAACTAATTAACAAATGCTTTTGAACTGATTTTGAAATGAAATGCAAAATCAAAGAATAAGCATATTTTCTAGCAAGCACTTTTGTAAGACAAATCGTTATTTGAGTGTTCTATGGATTATGCTTTGAAGGGAAACAAAGCAGCGTAGAAACAGTCTATGTAACATATGGTTATACTCCAAACAGCAAGTTCATGCAGTCAGTGTGCCAAAATAATAGCAATAAGATAGTACCTGAGATTTGACAATATCACTGGGGTATTTCCCCCCCCCCCTTTTTTTTTTTGGTGATTCTGCCTTTCGTTCCCCTGAAGTCTTATTAGGCTGAACAGGTGCAACTACCAATTTACACCTTCTTTTCCTGCTGGATGTGATTCAAGGTCATCTTGCAGTTTGGTTTCTATTTCAGCTGCAGGACTGACTCACTTAGCTCAAGTCCCTGAGGCTGTTTCCTCCTTCAAGAGTGGTAATCGAAATACCTACTTGCTACTTGTCACCTGGGTATGAGAAAATTAAGGAGGAGGTGCCTTGAGATGATTTTGGATTCTCTCCTTAAAGGTGTTTTGTAATGGTACATTGTTGTTGGTGGTGTTAGGTGCCTTTGAGCTGTCTATGACTCACAATAACCCCATAAACAATAGACGTGAACTCTGCCCTATCCTGTACCATCTTCATGATCTCTGATATGCACCACATCAATCTATCTTATTGAGAGTCCTTCTTTCTCTGACCCTCTACAGTCTCTTTTTCCAAGAACTGATCCCTCCTTGTCAATATGCGCCAAGTATGTGAGGTGAAGTTTTACCATCCTTAACTCTGAGGAGCCCCTTGGTTACACTATCATACACTAAGTATGACATGATGCCTACACTTACTAAAAGCAAAAATGATGTATATTGAAAAATACCAAACAAAACCCAAATCCATTACCTTTGAATAAATTCCAGCTCAGGACAACCCTGCATTGAGAGGAGATTATCCGGGTTTCTTTCTAGGAGCAGTGGGTGGATTTGAACTGCAGACCTTTTAGTTAGCAGCACAACACACTGTACACTACATCACCAGGTTTCCTTGCTTTGAGACTAAGGTAGCAGATTTCTCTACCAACTTTAATATTAATTTTAATTTAATTAAATTTAATATTTATATTAAGTTGTTGTGGACAGAGTTTCTGGTTATTGCAATTAGTGAGTGGAAGCTTCTTTGAGTCTATGTAAGTGGGTTGTTGCAGTGTCAGGACTTGGAGACTTAAAAGTTTTCATTTCCATCCAGTGAGTTTTAGATCTGAAGACACCTGGTTCTGCATCAGTCGGGGGTGCTTTTTGGTTTCCAGGAATTCAGTAACACTCT